TAATCTAAAACAATAATAACAACGTATCAATGCGAATAGATTTTATATTATCTTGATTAAGTAGAAAAAAACATATCTTCATACAATTACAGAATTACCAAAAAACATGTAGGTACAAACTGATAATACAAACTATCAGAGGATATATTATAGTATATAATTATTAGTATATTCGTTTTAGGTATAAAAATTAGCCTTACTCATTTACTAAAAATATTTATTAAAAATATAAGTTTTTCTATAAGAGATATTATACTCTAACTATTATTTAAAAGTTTGAACAACATTAAATTATAATAAGATTTTTACTAAAAATTAATAGTTCTATAAACTGTTTAGTGTTTATGATTTATATCAATTATTTCGTTGACGAGATCGAGCTTATTTTTTCATATTTTTTTGAATAGTGTAATTTTATTTTTCAATTTTTCAATATACTTGTTGGATTGAAATATAAACAATCATTAATTTATCAATTTTTTATCAATTTTTCACGAAGTTTCTTAAATCTGTTAGTTTAAGTATGTAAATTGTATAAACTTATCTTGTTTATTCGATAATAACATAATCTATATTATATTTTGACTAGCTTTTGATTTAGTTCAATGATTTATTAATAAGAGCTTGTTTTCTTTCATAAAGTTGCACACGGTGTAGATATATTGATAATTGTAGTAAACATAGATATCGAATAAACTTTTAAAAATACGATAATGTACTAATATACACGTCAGCAACTATACAATATGCGTCCAACTGTCCAAGTCAACGATACGATTTATACATATTTTTATTTTTAATGAATATATGTATCGGTTTGCCCTACTTAAATTTCTCACTTATATATTATAAATATTAAGTATAATATATATTATAGTTATACAATTATTATGTACCAAAACAAAATTGTTTGTGGAAAAAAAATGGAAGTACTAGTATAGTGTTGTTACATAATATGTAAAATGTTATTACCTAATTCAAGTTACAGTAGATTAAAAAAATAATAATATTATAATCGGCGATAGTTATAATCTATACAAATTGATTTAGTTAATTTTTAGTCTATTTTGACATAAGACAACGTTTAAATTCTTATTTCAAAAATTGTTTGATGAAAAATAAATTTGTAAATTGTTGTTTCTTAGTCATTTGTATAGACTCTTTGATTTATATAATTTATATTTAGTTGTTCACGTTGTTTTTAACATAGAATGGTGTTTTTGGGCATTTGAAATTTTTGATTTTTTTTTCTAATGTGTTGACAAACATTTAGAGCACTGTCAAAAATCAAAATAATTAAATACAAGATTCCACCTAAGTTTTTCTTATATTTACCAATTTAAAAATAATAAAAATATGCAATATTATTCTATAGGTACATAATAAGATTTTTTTTTAAAGTTAAAATTCCGACAAAATTTGTCAAAATCGCGAAATTTGTTAACCTACCTTCTGAATCTAGAATTAGAATAATAAAATGTTGGATTCCCGATGACCCATTTACGTAACACTATTAATAGGATGTAAACATGTTTTAATACATATTATTTTGTGTGTCAGTTATATATACATGGTATATAAAATATACACATAATGGTGAACATATGAATTTCAGAGACACGAGTGCACTGGCATGTAACATCTATTTGTAGTACCTACTATATAGTATATACACTAGAGTTCCAAAAAAGCCAATTGCTCGTCTGCTCGAATAAAAATACGTCACGTAATCGGATCGGGCCTTGGCAAAGGTGGCACAATATAATTATATACCTACTATAAACCTATATTGCTTACCATTTAATACCTACTCAAAGGTTAAAGTTTTACTCTGCCAATATTTATCGATTACCCCCGTGGCTTTGCATAATATTATTATATATTAGTTACGCGTATCTTCGGTAATCGTACATAAAGTAATAGCTATACCAGTGGCGGATTTAGCGTCAGGCAAAGTAGGCAGTTGCCTAGGGCGACAAATTTTTAGGGGCGGCAATTTTAGGCCAATATTTTATTGAAAATAYACTCYARGTTTCTTTTTGATTTTCTTATGTACGGTGATTACTTTGAAGGATGGAAAATGAAAATGTTTAATATTTGTATAACATAATATTCTTGTTAATATAATTTCTTCATTATTTGATAATACTAATACATAACAATAAACGTCCAAGTAAATAATCGAACGACTGCCGGAACGTATATTATCTATTATCTAAATACTAACCATAGATTACATATTTCGTTTTTTTGTATTTTTACTAAGTCGTAATGGGGTGGCAAAAAAAAATTGTCTAGGGGTGGCAATTGTGTAAATCCGTCTCTGAGCTATACCTACTATACCTAAATACTTAAATTACATATATAATATAGTAATATACGTCCTAAATATACACACGCACATGAAAATATTATATAAAATATAATTTCGTAATGTAGCTCAGTAGTTGCAGCAGTATAGATCTAAAACCTGTAAAAAGATATCAGTTGGTGAGCAGACGATATACGGGAGACGAAAGATGCACATTATACAATTTCGTGTATTCAAATATTATATTGTTTACTCCATTGCTATGTGTACATATGCACGTATAATGTACGGTCTAATGTATAATTAGAAACGAGCTGTACAAATAACGATATTAAAAAAAAAATTTTAATATTCTTAACATCTCGTACTATAAACATATACCTACCTACCTACTGTATAATATATCCTTATAAATGTATAATATTATATTATAATTAAACGTTCGAATTCGTTTTTCGGGTTGTGTACCTACCTGATAGTTATTTTACTTTTTTATAAGTATTTACCTAATCTTGGATAGTATGAAATCATATAAATTTATAATTAGCCTTATAAAATAATATAATTTTTAGAATGTGGTTTTTGTACTATTTTAATTTGTTTTAATATATCATATATATATATATAAACTCGCGTATAGATACTGTAAACCGGACGCTCCCGAATTGCCTCCCGTGAATTTTTTTTTTAAAAAGGTTACCCGAATTGCCTTCCGATTTCAAAAATATTATTCACTCGAATTGCCTCCTAAGAGGGTCACTACCTACTCTTGTACTGGAATCGCCTACGATAGCTATAATTAATCGATTTATAAAAAAATATATTAACCATAATTTAGATGAAATATAATTTTGTTATACAGTCAAAAACTTAAGTTTGTATAAAATAAATGTTTTAATAAATAGACTGACACAGCAGTAATAATTAATAATATTAAAAATAATAATAACGAAATATAATAATATAATTCTGTTTTACAGTCAAAAATTTAAGTTTGTTTAAAATAGTTTAATGACATTAAAAAACATAAAATTTAAAAATAATGTAAGTTTGTGTCCGTGGTTTAAATTTACTTGCCAATACTTTTAAATATTAACCTGCTGCAGAATTAGTTATGGTGATTAGGGAAAGGGATCCGAATAGTTTATTGGGATCGTGGCATAGTACACTTTAGCACCCCTTATTTTTTCTAGGTCTTATTTACCTGCCATAAAATTTACAAACGCGCCAACGGTCGTCGCATAAAAATTAAAATATACTATAAAAACCATAGTACATTAATATGCATGGAAGTAAATGTATATTATTTATATTTTGTGATGTATATTATTTGTATGCATGACTAAACCCAACTTTACAACCCATCAATCCTAAACATGTGCTATAAATTCATATAATACATGTATTTACTAGGTTGAAAAAAAGTGGTCTGTCAATGAAGTAAAATTGGCTTTCTTAAATTTTGACAACTCTATACAAAAATGGCGCCACTGGACAAGGGTTCACAGTGATAACAATTCAGGGGGTAGTGAAAAAAATCAATTTTGTGGTAACTGATAAGTTGCTCTGCTGATTTCAATATATTTTACATTTTTTTTATTAGTGGTAATATTACTAGCTATACGATGTTTGTTTTGGTATGAACCTGTTTTGAACCATGTTTCATATCATCCCAAATAAAAAATACCAAATTTTATTTTGCATTTTAGGAATTTTCAGATTTAACGGAAATTTTTGACTTAAGATATTTTGAGCATTTTATAAGTAAACACATTTTAATGGAATTGTATAAAATGTAGCCATATAGATATACAATATTATATTCTACTATGAATGATGAACAAAAAATATTCATAATTTTGAATTTGAATTTTCATAAAACTAACACAATCGAAAATTGCCACCTCTACTGATAAAAGTGTATCATTTTGTTAATAAATTGGCAAATAATTGTTTTATCACAAAATGTTGTCAACAAAACTATAAGGAATATATGGTTAGGTTAAGCAATTTGTGCCCATGATCGCGGTTAGAGGGAGAAAATATTTTACCTTATAGTTTTATTTAAAAAAAAAAAATCAAATTTTAAAAAAGAATAGTTTTATAATATTTAAATAAATAGTTTTAGTTTAGTATTAGATATTGAATGTTGGAATCGTTTGAGACCTGGGTGCCCCAATATGTCTATATGAGATATATAGATGTGTTTCCGGTAGATGTATTTTAAAATTCATAATTAGATAGGTTTATTCATAAAATATGTTGTATTATATTACGTAATATTATAAATATTTATAATTAGTATTGAATAACGTGGTTTT